TTTCGGCATGACTTCGAATTGGAAGAATTTCTAAGGTTTTTTATATGCAGGGTTTCAGATCTAGGAGTAAAGGTACTCGAATTGTCCATGTTAGTGCCCCCTTAGGCTGCTAACCCTCAATTCTAGTCCATTACAGACTAAAGTGGATCGAGTTCAATTCGAGGGGATACATTTCTCTATGCCTGACACGGAGAATAAATTCTCACGAAGACAGAGAGCATATGAACCCCAGAAGTTACTTGCTAGGTCTGACACGGAGAATAAATTCTCACGAAGACGTCGCTTTCACTCCCACTTAAAAGGGACAACTCAATTATAGAGCTTTATGTAATGCAATGCAAGTGTTGTATGTGAGGAGAAATGTTCAAACCTTTGACAGAAAAATAAATACTGAAATAAAATACTTGCAAATAAAATAAAACATATAAATATTATAAAAATAATAAATAAATAAAAAATTTGAAAAGAAAGAATTAAAAATTAAATATATAAATTTTTAATTTTTAACTAATAGAGACAATTTATAATTAATTTTTAAAAGTTTGACCAGGTCCCCAGCGGAGTCGCCAAGCTGTCGTAACCGGTTTTCGTCCGGGCACGAAATATTTATTTTGGCGGGGAAGTTGATGTGAATAAATAATTTTGAAAATAATTTGGGAGTCGCCATCGGCCTTTTGGGTCAGGTAGGTCGAATACCTAAAAATTATTTTTTTTAAAAGAGTTTTAAGAAAACACTAATAAAAAATGAACTGATCTGCGTTTATAACCAAAAATTCGTTCTTTTTAATAAAAAAGGGATTCGTGGTCGGTTACGTTTAGGGAAGGATTAGCACCCCTACAACGCCCAAAATTGGTACTTTTTAATTATAAATTGTCTCTATTATTAAAAATTCACAAAATATATATTTTTTTAATCTTATTATTTCAAAATTATATAAAAATATTTATTTATTTAAAAATATCTGAAAAGAACTTCTAGGTACCTTAAGACAGCTCTTTTTCTTTGATATTAATAAATATTAATTTAAATAATATTGTTTAATTTTTAATTTTAAAATATCAAAATAGGACATCCAGTTGTATTAAGACTGTCCTTTTCTTTGATATTAAAAATAAATATTTAAAAATTACTATTTATTATATGTATATTTATGAATATATAAAAATATTTAACAATATAATAAAATAAAAATATCACTAAAACAATATATTTTAAGCAGTAAAATGAAAACATATAAATAACTAAATTATAATAAAAATAAAACTAAATCTAATTACTAATTAATTGAAATTATAGGGTTTAAATATTTTATTTTCTAATTTAATAATTTAGTGACCAAAATGAAATTATTTAAAATTCAAATTTTATAATAAAATTAATTAAAAATATGAACTAGGGATAAAAAATTTATTTATTAAAATTAAGGGATTAAATCTGTTATTTATCCTAAATATATTATTTTAATAAAAAGGACTAAAATGAATAAAATTAAAATTCAAAGACTGAATTAAAATTATTATAAATTCAGTTTAGTGACCAAAATATAAAATTTACAAATACGAAGGACTGCGGACGGGGTTTAACTATTTCATAATTACGCGCATAGTCCTTCCTGAAACGACGTCGTTCGGGAAGGACTATAAGAGTCCAAACCGGCTGGCCCGAAGGGCCAGCCATTTCATTTCTTCTTTTTTTTTTCTTTATGAAGCAAAGAGAGAGAGAGAGCCAGAATTCTCTCTGGCCTCTCTCTAGATTCCCTCCCCGGAGGGAATCCGGCAGCCGTCTGCCGCCGCGAGTTCTACCGCCGGCCACCGCCGCCGGCCACCGTCTTTGGTGGCCGAAAAAAATATTTTTTATCCTAAATGTAGATCGGACCGTCCTAATGACGGTTCCGATGTTTTTTTTCGTTAAACGGCTCCCAATCGGAGCAAATCTACAATAATACCTTCGGCTTTTCGAAGTTTTGGTGAGATCCGGTGACAGTTGGGGCTCTCCGATGACAGGGTAAGCTTTTGCCTCTCTTCTCTCTTTTTTCCTTGCTGTGGTTGATGCTGACTGAGATCGTTGGTTTAGTTGTTGTTGTTTTTTTTTTCTTTTCTCTGTGTTTTTTTTCTTCTCCGTTTTCTGTTTCTGTCTCTGGTTTCTGTCCCTCCCTTTCTGTCTTTCTTTTTTCTTTTTTTCTTTCGCAGATGGGTGGTGGCTTTTATAGCCACCACCGGTGTTCGTCTCAGACCGGTCCGAAAGAGGTTCTTCGGTGAGTCACCGGACTTCCAGTGGTGACTCACCATTTTGGGCAAGACGTGTGCGGCTGGAGTGGGTGTGGCGGTGAAGGCTTCTGGAACCAACAGCGGCGGCGCTGGGACGTGTCCCTAGGGTATAAATACCCTAGGGTTTCCTCTGGCAAATGGTGGACCGTTGGATCAAACCAGATCCAACGGTTGGAATTGAAGATGGCGGCTGAGGATGATACAAACCCTAAATTGGGTTTAGGGTTTACTGTAGGATTTTGGGTCTGGGCCATTGTTTGTAATTGGGCTTCCATTCGGGCTTGTAATATTTATTTATATATGTATTTAATATATTTAATAATAATAATAATAATAATAATAATAATAATAATAACAATAATAATAATAATAATGATAATGATAATAATAATAATAATAATAATAATAATAATAAAAAAATATTAGTATCTTCAGCAACTATGCAAGAACTACTCTTCTTGATAGTTTTGCCTCGTGTAACTGATAACTAATCTAATCTGTTCTCTTGTTTCTACCTTTATCAACCTCCACACTGTTCTTTTCTTGTCTGTTTGCAGTTTTTTATCGCCTAATAATATCTTAGGAGCTCAGTTTTTCTATTTCTGGTTCACAAGTTCAACTTCCCCTGCATTGCTTATGTCTTCAAATTGAAAACGGGAAATGTGCTTTGCTTCTCGAGCAACATTATTTCTTACGTAAACAATTGTATTTGAAATTATCATGGTCTCGAAATAGTGAAACTAAGTAAAATTATCACCCTTTAAGCTCTCCCCCTTTTAAACAAAGAAAGAAGAAGAAAAATTGTATTGTTATAAAAGCTGGAGGAAATCTTTGCATGGTGGCTAAAACTATATCTAATCTACATTATCTGGTAAATCATCAAGGAAACTATCCTATGTCTAAAACTTAAAAAGAAAAGATAAAAATGATGCCCTCCTATGAAGGGGTTAACTGTCTTCTATATGAGAAGTCGAGAACGGTGCTATATGGAAGAATGACTTCTGGTAAATAGTGAACAGGCAATAACTATTCTCAACCTATTTTATACTGCATGAAATTACAGCTTACCATTTATATCTACTGCAAGTAAGTGGTCAATCGCTTGGGAATAGGTCCCTATTGACCATTCCTTTGGGATTTTCTGAAACCTTTGGTCTACTCTTTTGGCTCTACGCTTGCCACTTCATATATTTTCAACTCACCTAGGAGCAAAATGAAGGATAAGAGCAAACAACAAGCAGCATTTAAATTGAATATTCATACAACAGTTAAACGTCCAATTTAGCAATGTAGATTGAAAAGGGGATGGTACAACTTCATTGTATGCATTATTCAGTGTTGACCATATACGAAATAAACGCAAAAATACAAGCTTATCAATAGTTAATCAATCACATTGCATGAATGCTCATTCCCATGTCTCCTGAGAAATAGCAATCTCCACTTGTGAAAGATGCACTACCTCTCCAAGGAGAAACGTCATGGCAATCAAGTTTAGATGGCAATCAAGTTTAGATGACATTCATAGCTGTAGAGAGATGGCAATCAAGCATAACCATTGAAGATGGTGTAACAAATCATAACCTTCTTCTCGAATATGCCGCTGATGGCAATCTTTTGAATTGGATTAAGCTGTACGGTGGGGAAATTCCAGAATCTGATTTGAGGTGCTATGCTAAGATGATTGTTCAATGGCTTTGTGTTATTCATGGAAAGGGTTAGGTTCATAGTGATATCAAACCGGATAATATTTTGGTTTATCGTTCTAATCAACCGGGTTCTCTCAGTACTTTGAAGATTGCTGATTTTGGGTTGGCCAAAGAACCTGGAGAAAGAGAAGAGGATTCGATACTCGCCTTATCTTTGAGGTACTTTCGATTATATGTTCACCGGAAACATTTTATGAGGGAAACATCAGTGCTGCAATGGATATATAGTCGCTGGAATGTACCATTGTCGAGATTATAACCAGAAAGCCTCCCTCGATGGGAACAATGGAAATAACTGATATTATCCCCGACGTATGTCCAAGTCCGGAAAAGATTTTTTGATGAGATGCTTTGCTATGGATCCCGATCAACGATGGACTGCAAACAGGCTTCTAACCGATGAATTTCTTTTGCCCAATTACGTTAGAAAGAAAAATTTTCTTCCACATGCTATGATGCATCGAAAGCTCAATGCGTTAAAGCTACCTCAATCAAGTCAAAGGCCGCTACTGTTTCCTTCTGTCAAGGGATCAGTGAAATCTAAATAGTTGGTTTACTTGACCCTCATTTAAGGTTGAATGCATACTATGGTTTTTTGTACGGTTTAGCAAATAGTCGCTTTTTAGAATATGGTTGAATCTGTATATGATGCAACTGTGGAAACTCTTACTGTTGGCTTAAGCTATTTTAGAGCAATGTAAACGGCCAACACTTAATGGTAAAGCAAATTGAACTCCTAAAAAAACCCAAAAAATTATAAATGGGAATGTAAAGCTATTTATCAACTACAAATGTAAATGTCAACAGTAGATTGTGTCCAACAGCACAACATGTAAAACTTTCAAATTGTTGTTAACTACGCTGCAAGCCTTTCAAGAACCACAAATCTCAACTCTACCTCACATTCTTGTTATTATCATCCTTTTCTTATTCTACAAGAAATATATATAAACGGAGGAAAAAGAAGTTGCTTTTTAGTGGGAAAAAAGAATTCATCAATCATTAGAAGGACACCATCTGATTAGTACAGTCTCAAGGTACAATAACATGCAAAATAGAGTATTCGGCAGAGAAAGTTGTTCTGAAAAATATAACACTGATTCGGTAAACGGGCACTACTCACCAACAAATCCAAAATCCATGCACCCGCTAAACATAGTGGTGATCTCTTAAACATGTATAATTATGTGCTTTCATTAATGGGGAGGTACACACCCTCAGCAGCCAACCATACATTATCCGCTCGCTTTTCCCTAACGCTACAAACCTACACAATTAGGTGGAAATGGTTAACATAACAACTAGTAACAAGGGCAGAATAAACTTCAGTAGTACATATAATTTCCAGCTCCTTCACCCTTAACAATTTATTAACGGAGGTTCATGTTTAGAAAGCAATAAAAGTAGGCTTTCACACTCAATGATTAGCTAGCAAGTATTGAATACTAGTATTGTTAAACATAATGGAAGACAAATATATTCCTTAGAATGGAATTTAAAATAAAGAAATGTCCAGGTAACAATATAAAAATAATTATCAATTATGATATATTTCCATTCCCACCTCTTGCTGACCACCAGCTATTCTGGAGTATTTCTTGTTGTGACTATGCAGGTAGCCACCAGTGTCGACGTGTTGAAGCCGAATCCTTTGGTCTTGCTTCCAAGTCTTCTCACTTCCCTCAATTATGAGCCTGAGAGGAACAATAATGAAGCACCAGCAAAATATATAACCAAGAAAGATACACGTAACTTTGACAAAAGAACATTTTAGACCTCACCTCCAATAATCGCCGGTATCCGATTCTGATTCTCCTCCAAAGCAGCTGACCTATACCCCATATTGAGAGAGTAATCATCAGTAAGTCTCAGTGAAAAAAAGAGAGAATTTCAAAATAAAATTTTTAACAGGTCTAGAAGCGCATCACAATGTTCTAACATCAATGAAGGTTAGCTAAAAAAATTGACAAAATTTGTTAGAATTCAAGTTATGATTGGCTGCTGAAACATGTGTGTCATAACCATATTTTTGATAAACAATTAAGTTTAAAAAACAATTTTTTAGACCCGGACAAAAACGGGTGTCTATAATGTGAAAAATACTAACCTCGAGATTTCCTGATATAGGGGATGCATGCAAGTGGCTATGCAGCCATTTCCTAGTCTTCATATGTTGCAATCTAATAATTGCCCCATTGGGGATGGTGTTTCCTTGCTTAGCAGACGTGTCAGATGTAGGCCTAACAATCTGCAAAGCATAGCTCAAATGAAATTGGATGATGAAAAATGCTATTATGACACTATTAAATGAGAATTGCGCTGTAAAAAGGACTAAAAACCAAACTCTGCCAAACTTGTTCACCTTTCAAAATTATCTCAATCACCATAAAAAAATATATTTAGGAAAAGAAAAAGGCACTAACCAATTCGTATATAGTAAAGGAAGAATTTCTTGTTCTTGAACAATATAAATAATTATTCTACGCGAAGGACACCATAATATCATCACATTCATATGGTTAACTAACAAATATTTGACACAAACAAAAATGTTTACCATAAACTTGGAAAAGTTCATTGATCCATTAGATTTAACCATTGAAAAAGACTTTTATTGCGTAATGTAGTTAAAGCAACAACAAACAAACGCTCCAATTCAGAAACTAGTTAAGAAGATCGAGCAGGTAAGACAAAGAGAGAGTACCCAGTAGCTGTTGGAATCATCTACATTAGGAAAACCGGTGACAGATTGCTGTCCACTTCCAGAGCCGTACGGTACATCGTGTGAATGAAGCCTAAATTTTGTTTTCTCGTGCATCAGCTTTAAAACCGTCCCATAAGTAACCTGTTCCGTTTATTAAAATTAATAATATATCAAACAAGGAATAAGGGGGTAAATTGATATAAGTGAAAAAGGATGTTTAAAACCTCGACGTTCTGGGATGGAGGGGAGGAGGAAGCGGAGGCGGAGGAAGGAGAACCTTGATCGAAATCAAAAGTGAGGAAGAGGAAGAGAGCAAGACCAAAGAACCCGATCGCCATCAAGAACAGCAATCCAATGAACCAATTCTGTTGCCAAAATGGATAATCAACCTCTGTACTCTTTCTAAAATGTTCTCTCTGTTCTACGGTGCTCGGACCTGAACTTGACGATGACGACGACGACGGAGACAGAGACGGTTTTCTACGACGGACGTCTTGCGGCACCGACGTCGCCACGGTGGATGATATTCTTTCAGATCTAACGGGAATTTATCCGATTTGTCCAGCGAAATCGCTTTTTAACGGATCTGGCTAGCAGCGCGCGATCGAGGAGGGAAGAGAAATAGAGAAGTATGACGCGGGATCATTTCATTGACGATTGACACGTTGCAGTGACATGATTCTATCCAATAGAAAAGGTGACATGTGGAGAAATAATGATGTGGAGGGTTTTGGTTGGGTGGAATTTTTTTTTGTTAACAATTGACTTGACATGAGAATCTTGTCTTTTGGGTGGAACCGGATCTTCGAGAAAACTGCTAAGAAACCGATGCGTATTGTTCCGGTTTTAGTTAACCATTCCTTCGGGCCGTTTTTGTGTTTGAGCTTTGCTTTTCAACAAAAGTGCCGAGTTCAAAATGGATCCCCGGCCTCATTATTACAAACATTCAACGTTAACTGCACGCAAAGTTACAAGAATAGATAACGTCAGAATCTACTATGGTACATTCTGTCAAAACTTAAAATGACGATTTATTTAATTTTCCAGAACCAATTGTGTTGAAGCGTCTGGAGAACCAAATGGGTCAATTTTTTGCCACCTAAACCGGCTGACTTCGACTTAAGACGGATCAAACTCCCAAGTTTACACTAGAAACAGTCATCTCTGTTTAGCCTTTTGTTTTCCTACTGCAAAGATCGGAAGAGAGCTTGATTTAGAGCAATAATAATGGCAGGAACTGCTGTGTTTGCTGAGCTAGTTGATGAAGATGGTGCGTTCAAGTACTACTCATATGGGGAGTGGAAGAAATCATCTTCAGGGAAGTCTGTGGCAATCATCAACCCAACCACTAGACAGCCTCAATTCAAAGTCCAAGGTATTACTATTTTCTTGTTAGTTCACTGATGATCACTCTTTTTTCTTGTTTTTTTAAAGCTATGGATGATCATTACATATCTTAAAGACTTCAATTAGTGTTTTTTTTATGCATGGTCTTTGATTCTTTAATGTATTCTTTTTCTAATTGTTTGGAACAGCGTGTACTCAGCAAGAGGTAGACAAGCTGATGGATGAAGCTAAAACTGCCCAAAAGTCATGGGCTAAAACCCCGCTTTGGAAAAGAGCAGAGTTGCTTCATAAAGCAGCTGCTCTCTTGAAAGAGCACAAGGTCGCCATTGCAGATTGCCTTGTCAAAGAGATTGCAAAACCGGCAAAGGATGCTGTGACTGAAGTGAGTTTAAACACAATTTCCATCTTTTTTCCTATGCTGAAATTTTTGTGGGCATTTAATTTAAATTTTAAATAGGCTGTAAGGTCTGGGGATCTGGTTTCATACTGTGCTGAAGAAGGGGTCAGGATACTAGGTGAAGGGAAATTTCTGGTATCTGATAGTTTTCCAGGGAACGAAAGGACCAAATACTGTCTCACTTCTAAGGTAATTTGCCCATTGTTTTCAAATTAGCCGTGTTGCTTTGAGCAATGGTTTTTCAATATTTTCAGTGGTATTATATATATATGGTTATGGGATATCCAAAGAGTCATTGACTAACTCGACAAAATATATATTTTTAAAAGAAATTTTAATATAGTGCCGATTGTTTTCTGTGGACAAGTGTAGCATGATCCTTGCATGTGTGTGTATATGTCAGCAGATGCAGTAGCCAGTTGGTAAATTGGGTGTTGCTGTCCTTTTTGCATATTATAATTCTATTTTGTTCTTATCTGATGCTCATTTAACCTAAGATGTTCTTATGTGTTTCCTCATATTCATAAGCCTTAAGATGAATACTGAACGATGAACGACGGGCGGCATGGCTGCTGTTTATGTTAAATGGTATGAACAACGGTTCAATATAAATATGTTCAGACTGACCAAACATTTTATTGATCATTGTTTATAAAATTAGTCTACGCTGGCTAGTGATGGAATTAGTCTTGAATAGGGACTCCTCCAATGATGATCGTTCTATAGAATTTAATGCTGCAAATTCCGTATTTGTCCTAAAATACATCAGACATAAAATGAACTGGTCTGTGTTCTTATCAATTCTTATGCTCCCTTGTAGCTCATATTAAAGAAGCCCTGTTTATTACTTGATTTTGATTTTTGAGGAACCTAACTTCGAATTCTATATTCCTTTCTTATTTTCACATGCAGATACCTCTAGGGGTCATTTTAGCTATTCCACCCTTCAACTATCCCGTCAATCTCGCCGTTTCAAAGATTGCTCCTGCACTTATTGCTGGAAATTCTATTGTACTCAAGCCTCCAACCCAGGTTTAGCTCCAACCCTTTCTGATTCTTATATATCTTGTTTGCGTTGCAAAAAGATTAGTCAAGGATGCATTTCATATACTATAAATCGTGATTCTTATATATAATGGACATATCCGGACAAGGTTCTCTTAACTTGCAGGGTGCTGTAGCTGCACTTCACATGGTCCACTGCTTTCATTTAGCTGGTTTCCCAAAAGGTCTAATTAGCTGTGTTAGTGGCAAAGGTTCGGAGATCGGTGACTTCCTTACAATGCACCCAATAGTCAACTGTATTAGGTATTATCTTAATTACCTTGATATGATGTCCTCCATATAAGTTTGCCAACACGGTATTCTGTATCTGCACATGATATAAATCAGAGTAGTGATCTTGTGGTTTGTCTACTAACATGAACACTTATTCAGCTTCACTGGTGGGGACACTGGAATTGCAATTTCAAAGAAAGCGGGCATGATCCCTCTTCAGATGGAATTGGGTGGAAAGGATGCTTGTATCATTCTCGAGGATGCTGATTTGGATTTGGCAGCTTCTAACATCGTGAAAGGAGGCTTTTCTTACAGGTAATAGAAATCGTTCAATGTCTTTTCATTTCGACTTTATGTCACGGTTGATCTATTTCTGGTCAAATAACTGCAATTAGCATAATGTGTTGTTATTTAAAAACTTCCTTTGTCATGTTTCAGTGGTCAAAGGTGCACAGCCGTGAAGGTTGTGCTGGTCATGGAATCCGTGGCTAATGCTCTCGTCGATAAAGTTAAAGCTAAAGTCGTGAAACTGACTGTCGGGCCACCAGAAGACGATTGTGACATCACTCCAGTTGTCACAGAATCCTCTGCTAATTTCATTGAAGGATTGGTAATGGATGCCAAACAGAAAGGGGCTACATTTTGTCAAGAGTACAGGAGAGAGGGCAACCTTATATGGCCATTGTTATTAGACAATGTTCGTCCCGATATGCGAATAGCTTGGGAGGAGCCATTTGGTCCCGTGTTGCCTGTTATAAGAATTACCTCAGTTGAAGAAGGAATTCATCATTGTAACGCTAGCAATTTCGGCCTGCAGGTACAACAACTTAATCGTTCTTTAACAGTATACTAAACGCTTAGACTTCCACTTCAAGTTCTTCAAGACTAAATGTGATTGCAGGGCTGTGTCTTTACAAGAGATATAAACAAAGCAATCTTGATCAGTGATGCGATGGAGACTGGTACAGTTCAGATTAACTCAGCTCCGGCTCGGGGACCCGACCATTTCCCGTTCCAGGTGATTTTATTTTACCGCATTCCCGATGCAAACTCTCAAAGTAGTTGCCATTTCTGATGGTTAAGCTCAACACCATTGAGTTGTTGCAGGGTCTTAAAGATAGTGGCATTGGATCCCAAGGAATCACCAACAGTATCAATATGATGACGAAGATCAAGACCACCGTGATTAACTTGCCAACACCTTCTTACACAATGGGTTGATGAATCTTATGAGCCAAACTTGCATGAGTCATCACTCATCGTCATCATGTTATGTGTACCGGTAGTACAATCCTTCAATAATTTCTCCAATTGATATGGGTAGACATTCAATAAGTTTATAATGAGGATTGTTTTGAGGAGTTTATCTTGATGAATTTTCTTTCTATCAGAATATGTTTCATGTCAATTATATCAATTGTTGATGAAAATAAGAGGAGATTATTATGGTTTGAATGGCTAGGATTGATAATATTTATAATGAGTGAAGAGATGAAAAAAAAATTAGTAGTTAAAGAAGAGGAGGAGAGAGAATATCATTACTTTCGCGTAGAATTTATATATTGATTCGTAGGGTATGTTTATTTTACTAAAAACATTTTTCAAAAAATATTTTTGTGAATTATATTATTTAAAAGTATGTTTTTAGAAAACATTTTGCGGTACTTGAAAGAGGTTGTGTAAATAATTTCCCACCTAATTAGTGAGTTTTCTATAAATTATTTATATAAATATTAAATACAATAAATAGTATTATTTATTATAAAAATTTAATATTATTATTTTTGAAATATTTAAATATTTAAATAATTTATTCATTATCATTATTAAAATATTATTTCTATAATTTTATAAATAAAAAATACTAAGACTAGTATATTCTATTGAAATAAAAATATTATAAATTATTAATTATTTATTAAAGTGAAAATATTATTTTATATTTTAAAAGTTATTAATAAATATATTTTAGGTATTTTTATTAAAATATTAATAGATTATTATATTCATATTAAATACATAAATAATATTATTCATTACTAATAATTTAATAATGACACTATTCTCATATGTAATGGGGTAAGGGGGAGGTATGGTAGTAGGCTGCCCCCAACGTCAGGTTGAGAGCAACTTCCGTGAAAGACTTCTGTTATGGATTGCCCTCAGTGGGACTCGATCCCATGACCACAAGGTTAAGAGCCTTGTGCTCTACCAACTAAGCTAGACAGGCAAGACAAAATTAATAAATAATATAATATCATATATTATTATAATATATATGAGTATATAATTATAATATTAAAATATAATATTATATTTTTTAAAATATTAATAAATATATAAAAAAATATTTTAATATTTTATATTTTTATTAAATCAATATTAAAATATTATATTAATATTAAATATATAAAATAATATTATTTTGAATATTTATTCTTTGAAATTAAAAATTCAGAGAATGACTTACAAAAAATTATATCATAACTCATTTTTCTATAAAATACAAAACAAATTTTATTGATCATGAAAATATTTTTACATTGACAAACAAAATTTTCTCTAACTAAATACTAAAAAATAAAAAAATTAATATTTTATATAAAACAAACAAACGCTTAATACTTACTGATGATAGACTTATAATCACAATTACTATTTTTAAACTAAAAATGAAAATAATATCATCAATCACTAAACTTGACAAATATATATCTCTTATATTTATTCATAATCTTATTAAGGGCATTTTTTTCGAAAAATCACCGGTGACCGGTATATTTATCGATCTAACACCGGTCAGATTATATTTCTCGATCTAACACCCGTAGCAGTAAAGCGCGCTCCCTGTCCCGCGCTATATGCTGATTTGGCGCCACGTGGGGTATAGCACGCCCCCTGTATCGCGCTATACGCTAACATGGCTTACACGTGGGTATAGTGCGCCCCCTGATCCGCGCTATAGCTGTTTATCTGACACGTGAGGTATAGCGCGATACAGGGGGCACGCTATACCTTTAATTACCCCCCCCCAATCCTCCCTATAAATACCCTCATCCTCTATTACTTTCATCACACCATATTCTCTCATATTCTCTCAAATACTCTCTCTATTTAAGGTATATTTTATAATATTTTTAATATTATGTATTTAATTTATTTAAGCATTTTACTTTATTTAATATTTTACTAATATAATTTTTTTGTAGATATATAATGGAAGGCGGTCTACTTCGCTTGGATGGAAATCATATATCTCTACACTTTGCTGATACGGTAACATTTTAACTTTTTAATTTAATTTAAATTATTTGCAATAATTTGTTGATTTATTTAATGCATGGTTATTATATTAAGAATTAATTTGTGTAATTATTTAATTTTAGGAGAATGACCGTGTATTAGAACATTTTATTAGGAATCTTAAGTTAGTGATACCTAATAGTGTATTGAAGTATTTAGTAGAGGATGGATTTGGTTACATAGGTAGATATCAGAGTCACTGTAAGATAGAACCAGACCTTATTTCTATCTTAGTAGAGCGTTGGAGGCCGGAGACCCATACATTCCATCTTCCGTGCGGAGAGTGCACAATTACACTTGAGGATGTTGCTATGCACCTAGGGCTTTCGGTGGATGGAGATGTGATATCAGGGATCTCGTAGGGTTCCTGGACTACTTTGTGCCGGGATAATCTAGGACGTATCCCGGAAAGTTTTATTGGAGGTAAGATACCGTTAAATTGGTTAGATGCCAATTTTCGAGAGTTGAGCGCAGACGCCTCTGAGGATGAAGTTAAGATGTATGCACGGGCATGCATACTGTAGTTGATAGGAGGGTTGTTGATGCCGGACAAATCGCGCAACCTAGTTCACTGGATGTGGTTGCGACATCTTAGCGACTTTCGTCTGGCCAGATCATTCAGTTGGGGATCGACAGTTTTGGCTTTGCTGTACAGGGAGATGTCGGAGCCACTGACTACAGGCGTAATGCTATCAGCGGATGTCTCCTGCTGCTGCAGTTTTGGGCATGGTATCAATTGCCCTTTTTATGTCCCGTTGTGAAGAACTCATTCGTATTTCCACTACTTCTGAGGTAATTATAAAACTGATTTTGTATATTAATAATTTTATACAGCGTATAATATTTTTTTTTCTTTTAATAGGTGGTCTACTGATAGGAAAAATAATCAGGAGCTACCTGATGATTTAGAAAAAATTAGGGTGCTAATCGATCAGAAGGCTGGCACACATGTATGAATTTTAATGTTTAAAAATCAATTTTAGATTATAGTTATATAATTAGATTATTATTATGATAAAAAATTATATAATATTTGTTTTAGTTTGAATGAGTGTCATATTGTACTGATGATGTGAGGGCGGTGATCCCACCTGAGTTGAGGGGCTCATCAGATGTTTGGATGGCGATGGTTCCTCTGATCTGTTATGCGACCGTCGAGTGGCACTCTACTGATCGCGTGCTTCGACAGTTTGGTTGTTTTCAACCAATTCCGGAAGCACCTCGCAATATGGATGAGTTGCATAGCTTAGATAGACGCAGCAAGACAGATACAGATTGGCTGTTGAGGCATCATGAGTGGGTCGTGTTGTGGGAGGATCGACATCGGCGCCTTCTCCGTAGAGAGCCCATTTTACTTGATCGCTTGAGTGTTGCTGGCGGTTATTATGAGTGGTTCAACAGTAATAGGAAACTGTTTCTGCTTCCCGAGGATGCACGAGGGCATATATTTCCACGACGTCGACAGAGACGTTCACCGACACAGCACCATCGTCTCCCGACTCGTAAGGAGTTGCAGATGAATGTCTCCCCATTATGGCATTAAAATCATTACACATTATAGTAGTTGGGCTCTCAACTTGATCAACTTGTTCAGCCAGCCCATAATGGGAGCTTAATGATTGACCCCGAACAGCACGCACTTGAACAAAATGTGCATACATCTCAATAGCGGCGTCTGAATAATTACTTTGAGCTTCAACCATCATTTGAACATCATCATTGTTCGAAAGTTCGAATGATGTATAAGTTAATGGCAACAATGATGTTGGAAATCTGTACTGCAACGACGACATTCTTCTACTACTTCCAACATGAATCTTCCTCGAAATCTTCGTTATCAGCACCTCAAGAGTTATGTTTCTCTTGAATGATATTTTAACACGCTCATTTGATACGAAAACAACGCCAATTTCATCTTCTCGAATTTTACCATCATAATAAACAATAGGTGAAAGTCGTGCCATTCTTTGAGTTTAAAAGTGCAGCAATATTATATCTGCAAAAAAAAAATAACTGAAACAAACCTGATTAAATAAATTATATATGAACGAAAATATAACACAATAAATTTTTTACACATCAACGTAAATAATTTAAATAATATAATTTTATATTATTACATGTACCGCAAAACTATTTTGACGTATGCTCCTGCTTTTTAATTTTACAAACACAAAAATTAATTGAAAATAATTAGTATAATATTTTTTCAAATAATCATAATAACAATAAGTATAATAAAAAAAATTATAACGAAAAATCGCACGAACTTCTAAATCAAATATGAGAAAATTACCAGAATTATTACTCGTTGACGAAATTGTTGTATTAATTTATAAGTTGGGAGGAGATATATGAGGAGATGTGAGAAACTTAACCGGGAGTGAAGGGTATTTATAACCATATAAGACGCAGTACCTGCACCGCACTATATGTAATTATTCAGATAAAAGGTATAGCGTGGACCTAAATATAATTCATACCCAGGTATAGCGTTGAGCAGGGGCGGCGTTATACCCCTACGTGGCGTATAACGCAGATCAAAGGGCGCGCTATACCCACGTGTAAGCCATGTCAGCATATAACGCGGTACATGGGGCGCTACACCCTACGTGGTGCCAAATCAGCATATAGCGCTGGCAGGGAGCGCGCTTTACTGCTACAGGTGTTAGATCGGGAAATATAATCTGACCGGTGTTAGATCGATAAATATACCGGTCACCAGTGATTTTTCGAGAAAAACGCCCTTATTAAGTAGTAATGATTGACAATATATTAGTTGAAAAACAGCGATTTTCCCAATAAATCACTTTTTCTCTCTTTATTTTTCTGTCAGACACCCTTCTATCTTTATTTATCGATCTAACATCCTTTGCAGAAAGGCGCGTCTCATGTACCGCACCTTACGCTGATGTGGTGCCACGTGGGTCGCGCCTACGCTGATGTGACACCACGTGTAAAAACCAGATTTTAATTTTGTAAATATTTTTAAAATGATGTATAATATGTAATTAATTTATGTTAGGGTGATTTTGTGTAAAAACGTCAACTTTATTTATTTATTTTCTGTGTGTGAAAAAAACTTTCTATATTAAAATCTTTAAATATTTTTTTTGCAAATTATTTTATAAATCGACAAATTTTATTTTTGCATAAAATTACACAAGACATATAATCTAGTATAGGAAAACTTTGAGCGTAAGTAATTTAAAACATTAATAATTTTATAAAAAAATTATAACTAGTATTTCTTTTACAAAAATGATGATGATGATAAGAAATATTTTATAATTTAATAAATTTCATATTTTTTTGAAAAATTTATTGACTTTTAAAATTAATTGTTTAAAAATATAAAAATAATTGATTCTTTAGCTTTACATTATTTTTTTATTTAATTTTATTCACTTTTAATCCTGTTTTATTGTATTTTTATATATTTTTAAATATATGAGTTATAATTCAAACTAATCATTTATTCTGCTATTATTCAAATTAATTAAGAAAAATTATGGTAAAATGTTTTTAAAAGAAAAGTATAAATACATACAAGAAAATCTAAAGTTTTTCCTTTCTTTTGTGTTACTCTCTAAACTTGTAACAAAATTCAATAAAAAAATGTAAAATTAAAAATATCACATATATATTTAAAATATTCTTTATTAATTTAAAAATAAAATAAAATAAATATTAAATTTTATTTTATTAAAAATGAATAAACATTATTAAATGTTGTTAAAAATAATAATTAATGAATAATAATTCATTTGATCTCTCAATTGTATTTAAAAGTTTATTTTAATATTTTTTATATTTTTAAATATTTTTAAACAATTAATTTTAAAAGTCAATAAATTTTTTAAAAATATATAAAATTTATAATTTTTTAAATTATAAAATATTTCTTATCATCATCATCATCATTTTATAAAAGAAATACTAGTTATAAAACTTTTATAAAAGAAATATTTTAAATTACTTACACTCAAAGTTTTCCTACACTAGATTATACGTAATGTAATTTCATGAAAAAATTAAAATTTGTCGAGTTATAAAACAATTTGCAAAAGAATATTTAAAGATTTTAATGTAGAATTTTTTTTTCACATACAAAAATAAAATAAAAAAGTTGACGTTTTTACACAAGAATCGCCCTAACAAAAAATAATTACATATTTATCATAATTTTAAAACAAATTTCGAAACTAACACTTAATTTTTAGTCGCGATGCATGGATTGTACCTTTCTGCAAATGGTGTTATATCGGGAAATAAAGATAGAAGGGTGTCTGACAGGGAAATAAATAGGGAAAGGGTGATTTATTGGGAAAATCACCTTGAAAAACATCATGATAGAAAATAACTTTAGATATAATTAAGTTAAAATTAATAATTTAGTTATCTTTGTAAATTAATTATATTTAAAATTATTAAAATAATTTTTTTATAGAAACCATTAAAATAAAGTATAAAAATTTCCATAAATATTATTTTAAATTTAATCATTCAAATACGAACTAAATGATCTCTATGATAAATAAATTATTGTTGTTTTTCGAGTTTTTTGAGCATCATAAATACCAAAAGTATAAACATGCAATATAAAATAATTCAGAGTTATCTTTAAAATATATATTCTAAATTAATTAAATAAAAAAAAGTATTCATTCAAAAAATGAATGGCTGTCCATATATTAGAATATTTCCAGAAGTAAATAATCAAAGAAATTCTGAATACTTTTCCCTTTTTTTCATACTTGTAAATTACATTTTTGGCAGGAATGTAATTTTAGTGGTAATAAAAAAGGGGGAAGTAAATAAGGCAACAATATAATCAAACGGTTTAAAAAGCTCCACGTCGTCCCCACGCCAACAAAATCAAAAGGTGGATCTAAAGTACGTAATTTAACTCCAATTATGAGCACGGCAGAATCCGAGCATAGTCGTGCTGCATTCCGCTTTTGGTTTTTCTTTTGACCAATGCTGGAGCGCACAAAAAATAACACAAAAATATCGATCAAAGGAGAAAAAATAAAATAAAAGAAAAGAAAATTGCTAAAATGTATATAATTAAAATATACATTACTCCCTCAGCAATTTCCTCAATTAACCATAACCAACAACAACAACAAAAAAACCCTCACCCCATCAACTTTCTCTTTATCTCTCCGGGGAAAAACCCCCGAAAACCCTAGCTTATTCTCGAGTAATTCCTCCTCTCTCCATATCTCGCTGAATCGACCTTTCGTTTTACGTTTAGTGGCTTTTTACATGAATTTCTAGGTTTTTAATGGTGTGAAATCGGGGCCTCAGACTCAGATTTGAAGGATCTGTTTCTGTATATCTAGGGTCATATATATTCTTTATACAGAGGAAAAAATATATGGCGGCATCTGAGAAAGAGCTGGAGCTACAGTTAATGGAGGCTGGAAACAGGCTCGTTGAACCCCCTTCATCAGTTGATGAGCTCATCCCTCTCCTTGACGTAATCCCTAATCCATTCTTTTCTATTTTCCCTTTATTCCGTCTTGCTCTTCGTTATTTTTTTTATCGTTTTCTGTGGTTTATCAGCTTTTATTAGGTATGCGTTTTCTAATTATTTTTGTCGTTCTTTATACGCTCTTAAGTTAGTTGGATTCCCCCAATAAATCTACTTTTACCTTTGTTCTTAGGGTTTCCTTCTGTTGCACTGTTTTGACGTGCTTAGTCGCTCAATTCTGCTACCGCTCTCACTCCTACAAGATTAAATAATTTTAAAAGTGTTCTTTTCTAATGGATAGTGTTTAACGCTCTTAACTATTGTAACTTTCTCTCTCTATATGTTATAAGTATTTTTTTTATTTGTCCAATTACTGATATGTTCAACTTAACATCTTTACTTGACTTTAAATTCTAGAATCTTTTTTTTATGCAAATGATACGCAGTAGATAATAAATGGATGAAATGGTTTTAAGTTTTGAATTTCTTTCGAATTCAAAACTGTGCGCAAGCAGTATTTAAGTGATTCTGCATGCGATAGCATGAGATTTTTCTTCCTAAATCAAATACCATGTCAAGCTTTAAGTTTATGAAATCTGAGGCTATGGATATAACAAATATATCCTTAATTATTATTATTTTTTCAAATAATCAAGTACCATCTATGTTTCACAATTATTGTTTGACAGACTAGTTAATTTTTTTATGACTGGCAGGTGATGATGTTGAAACTAATGAGAGTTAATACATAATGTGTACTCATGATGTCTAGCAATGTGTTCTTGGATAGATGGATGCAGTAAAACCTTATATAGTTCCATTGTAGAATGATCCTAGGAATTTATCAATATACTTAATTGCAGTGTGATTTCAATTTTCAAGATGAGTGCTTGCTGAAGCCTTTAATTTATGGTTAATTTTTGTACTTCTCAGTTTTGGTCCCCTTATTTCCAAGTGAATATGCTTTGTGTTGCTTTTGATAACTGCCAGCTTGCCCTTACAGTTGGACTAGGCCATGTTTGTTTTCTTTTGGTAGAGCGTTATTGCTCTACAGTTGACAACGATTGTTTATTCCTTTCTATCCTGTGTGAATATAGCAAGTTGAAAGTTGTCTTTCAAGGGTGGAACAATCACCAAGCCAATCGATGCAAAACGCACTGTCTCCGTCACGTAAAGCATTGATTGCAGAGCACCTGTTCAGACATCCTGATGATGATGTTAAAGTTGCAGTTGCCGCTTGCATCAGCGAGATAACAAGGATAACTGCACCTGATGCCCCTTATGATGATGACCAAATGAGGGTACTTTGAATTCATTGTTTTGGGATGTTTATGCAGACCTCGATCATTTTAAATTCATTTTCTGCATCTGAAATATTGATTCCCATTAATGTGTATGCAGGATGTTTTTCAACTGATTGTGTCATCCTTTGAGAATTTATCTGACAAGTGCAGCCGCTCATACATTAAGAGGACTTCAATTCTGGAAACTGTTGCCAAAGTCAGATCATGTGTGGTGATGTTGGATCTTGAATGTGATGATCTTATTGTTGAGATGTTCCAACATTTCCTTAAGGCAATAAGGTAAAAAATGAACTTATTGATTGGAGAGTTCATTCTCTGGTTGAGATTTTTTTTCATCTGTCACTCTTCAGCTATTGCCTGCTAGCTAATGTGCGATTTATAAGTTTACAATTGATTACTTTCAAGATTATTGCTTTTTTAAATTTTTTTCTCAGTTTTTTGTTTTTGTCTCTCATTTATGAATCTGTTCCTTTTCTGAAGTTCTTCATATGTTAAGCGATGACCATGGCTGTTATGAATTTTCAGATGTGGGTTTAATATGATAAACTGCTATATAGGTTTTGAATAATGAAGATTTTCCCCCCTCTTGAGTGTCTACAGTTAAACCTTCCTCTAACTAGTTACCCCCTTTTGGTCAGTTTAATGTTCAATTCAACCAAAAAAAATGTTTAATGTATGTTTGTTATCGTCATGATTTTTTCCATTCATTCTAATATATTCACCCAAATGCAAGGAGAATAAAAGTGGCTTTGTATTTCATATATTCTAAATCACTAGCTTCCTTATGATTCTTTTTGTTTGTGTTTTTAGGGATCATCACCCGCAGGCCGTCTTTACATCAATGGTGACTATTATGAGCCTTGTACTGGAAGAAAGTGAAGACATCCCTGTAGAACTGCTCTTCCCAGTCTTAGCTAGTGTAAAGATAGATAATGAGGTCTGTTGTCCTATGAGTAGCTTACTTCATTTCAGTTTTGCAATCTTGCTTACTTCAGCTAGGGTTTCTATTTCTTCTCAGGAAATTCTTCCTGTTGCTCGAAGGTTGGCTGAGGAAGTGCTCAAGAACTGTGCATCAAAGCTTCAACCGTACCTTACCCAAGCTGTAGAGAACTTGGGAATTTCTTATGATGATTATAGTAGTGTAGTTGCTTCTGTATGTCAAGTAACAGCTCATGCTGTGTACTCGAATGACGCTGCCTCTGGAAAACATGTGGTAATTACATCATTACTTGATTCCTTTTTGTTTGAGAGCAATAATTTACTCATATTGTGCAATTTTTCTATGGATTTATGCTCAGCATTATTTGCAGATAGATTATATGTATGCCCTGGTTACTCAATTAAGTGTCAATGCTTTCTATTTATTTTGTGTGTTCACCTTTTGTTCCGGGTCTTTTTGTTTTTTGTCTTAATTTTTATTTTCCTTCAAAATATCCTTCAAATCAAGACAAGTTTTTGCCTTATGCGGACATGCTATTGATGTTTTTCTTTTATATACTTTTTTGTGAACATTGAGCTTATTTGGTCTCCTTAATGCTCCTTTTTCGGGGTTGATTTTCTTTAGGATGACAAGAGCATACTGGTGGAGGCACCTTTGGAGAAGGCAGCCCAGGTATGTTTTATTTCATGTATTTATTGTCAATTTTCATTACCCTTTTTCCATGTGGAGTGAAGTCCTTTGTTTATGTTTTAACATTTTCATTGAACTTTTACGAGAGTTTAGTGCCTGAAATTGTCGTTTATAAATCATCATATTCTCAGGAGGATAAACAGATTCCTGAACAAGTGGATCCTGCAAACAAAAAATCTCCTAAGGCAGTTGTTTGTAATGGCATTTTCCGAACTGCTGAAGATGACTCGTTGGCTGATTTGAACTCTGTAAAGAAGGAAGAGGGTGACCATATTGCTGACAAGTCCAAGAATGAAACATCACCTGTTGCTGAACCAAATATATCAGAAGCTGAGGAAGTAGTTAATTCAGGTCCTACATTAGAGAAAAATACCCATGAAAAGGAGAGGAAATCTGATTCAAAATTAACTGAACCTTCTGACAGCTCCCATGTTGATGGGAAGGCAGTTGAGACCTCAAAAGATAAAAAAACTGACAGCAAGGATGACGTTGGTGCACCTCGTCTGTCTATTGGTGGGGTTCTGTCCTCTGAAAATAGAAGAGAGACAGATGATCAGCATTCCTCTCTAAAAGCAACTAAGGAAGAATTGAATGATGTTGCATCCCCAACTCCAAGTGGGACTGATAGCCATTCCACACGGGCAGCAAGACCAAAAAAGAAAGAGAGCGTGAGCAAGGAAACCACATCCTCCCTTGATGATGTCTCTAAATCGAATAGTGATTCAGAAGCAAAAAACAAATAGACGATCGGGGAAAGAGTTTACTACTGTGGTTTCCAGCGAGAATAATGCTCCAGTTGATGTAGATGGAACTAAGAAAGAAAGTGACCCTGCAAGTGATTCAGGGGCAAAATTGCTGAAGAAGTCATCAAAGAAGGTAGACTCTAGTGGTAACAATGCGGCAGATGAAACTAAGAAAGAGAGTGACACTGCAAGTGATTCAGAGGCAAAATCACTGAAAAAGTCATCAAAGAAGGTAGATTCTAGTCGTAACAATGCAGATGAATCCACTTCGAGACAACTGTCTGATAAGAAAAGGAGAGGTCGGGAAAAAAGTTCCTGAGAAGGATAGAAAGAAAATCTCAACCAAGAATGACGACGAGGTACTTCCTTTTTGGCTTTTAACTTGTAATTTTGCTATTGTGATGATGGTGTTCTTTTTAAAGCTTTATGAATTATTTTTTAGATGTTCTAGATCCTTCAACCAGGGAATCATTCTTGCTTATTATTGATTTAGGAAATGATTGGATCGCCAAAGTCAGTGAAGCCAAACAAACATGATTCTCGCATGGAGGAGAATCTCAAGACAAATTCCAAGAGAAAGAATACCCCGAGTAAAGAAAAAGTAATTTCTTTTTAAATCTTTAAAGATCAAATTTTAGTAGTGGTGTATTGTAGTTTCCATAGGTCTTATTTAAACGAAGGCGTCTGGATGGTGCTCTGATAGACTGATTCTTCATTTTTCTTGATGCATCTATGTATGTCACTGTCTGACCCATATCTAGACATAGATATGTTCATATGTTCTTTCAAGGAAACTCAAAATGCATGGAGAACTTGAAAAGAATTAACATACCTGTTTTTGACACTCGCACCCGAGTCTGAGTAACATAGGCCAGCATTATAGGTGACCTTTGATGATCCTTGTATGTTTGAACCCTTCCATTCTTGCATCCTTAACGATTGTTATGCTATTTATAGGCCATTTATTTATTTTTCTTGCTTCTGAATGTTCCTTTGATCGTCTGGATTTAACTTTTAGCTTTTCTGAAGTCCGTGACTGCTTTTATTTTTCACTTTTTCCAATTCATCTACTCTCTTACTTCCTTCGTGTTTTTATTTGTTTCTTAAAGATTTTTCTTCTTTCAGAATAAAGTCTATTTAGCAACAAGCTGCATTTAACCATCTCTGAGGTCCTTTATCTTTGGAGAGTTATTTAACATTATTTTGATTTTTCTGCAAGGTTCCAATTTTGTGTTTCCTTGTAACAATAATCCTGCAATACCATCATTACTCCTTCCTATTGCATCCATTAAACCCCACCAAAAAAATGGATTATATAGGCCCAAATAGTTTTATAGTAACCCTTTATTAAACTCTGTTCTTGAATGCTGCAATCTGAACATAGTTGAAGCAATGATATTACATGCCATTCTTCTGGAGACCATTGATTTCCTTTTTTATGTTACTTCATTTTCAGGCTTCTGTTTCTATGGAGTATGGTGAGAATCTCGTTGGCTTGAAGGTGAAGGTCTGGTGGCCCAAAGACCGTGAGTAAGTATATATATGTTACAATTGTCGCAGAAATGATACTCTGAAATAGTAACCATGAATTTTATTTGTTTCTATTTCGTCTTTGAAGTGTATGCTTGTGTGAGCATGTATCTAATGTGAATGTGCTTATATATGTGGATCCCACCCTGTCTGTCCGTCCATCCGTTTTTCTGCATTATAGTTTGTCTCAACTTTTAAGGTCATTGTATTAGAGTTTCTTTCCAGCCTTAAACCTTAATATCATGTTATAATCCTTTTTTACCTTGTTCTCACACTCGAGTATATGATTTGCTGCAAGGTGAAAATTACATATACAAGGTGTTCCTTGCCAAACATGGCATGTGTGCAAATATAAGATCTGATTGTGTAAAAAAGGAGGTTGGAATATGAAGCTAATAGGACCGATTAATGATGAAACCAAAAAACTTAGCATTGAAACCGCTGGTGTTTTTCCAATTCTGCCCAACAAACTCTTGAAATGAAAAAGATCGAAAGAGCAAGGATGATACAAAAACCATTATCTGATTCCCAACTATCTCACCTTTTTTAATCTTATCTCCTTTTATAATTTTTGTTGTAGACAGTTCAGAAAAATAAATAACTTCTATTAAGAATAAATTACTAATTATTTGGAATGATGTTGTCTAGGGTGACATATGGTTCTTTATTTGTGACTACTTGTCTGGAACATTTTCCTCAATGGTTAATTTACTTTTTAATTCTTTCATCAAGTCACATTTGTATTCTTTGGATGTACAATGTCTTTTCCTATGCTGACATTTTCCATGGAATTTAATCATGTAAAACACATATTGGAGATTATCTTTATATGAGATCTGAATTATTGCTCAATTTTCTTACTCTGCTTATTGATGATATTGTTTTGCAGGTTCTATGAAGGTTTTATCCATTCATTTGATCCCTCTAAAAAGAAGCACAAGGTGACGCATGAAATAAAAGTTTCCTTTAATGTTTTTCCTTCGTATGTTACCAGGGTTTTTCCCCCCCGACTACTCATGCTAGAATGTTTAAATTTGTTTTCATTTATCGTTTGTTTGTAGGTGCACTATAATGATGGTGATAAAGAAATTTTAAATCTTAAGAGAGAAAAGTGGGCAGTGATTGAAGATGAATCTGGGTCCGATGAGGTGAGCACTTTAGGTAATTAACTTTTAATTGTTCGTGTTATAGGTTTGCTAATTTACTTCACTGAAACAGGAAGGCGCAGCTAATCATTCAAGTCCTGATGTTTCATCTGACATGTATGTGATTCCTTTTCTGTTTCTAGAATGTTAAATTTGATTGCACCACCATCTTGGTTCTAGAAAGTTCTTGTGTATTTTGGCCTTGTGCGGTGAAACTTCACTTGGTTTTTGTAGTTTAAGTTGATACTTCTTCCATTTTGTAGCAATGTTAATTTTATCTGAATGATGGAGTTCGCTTCAGATTTAGGTATTAAACTTTGGTATGGCTTTGCATTTGACTGTTGGTTTCTAGGGAATTTGGTTCATTACTGTCTCACTGTTGGTCTGGGCTTATCTTCCTTTCCCCTTGTTCATTTTCCATATACAGGCCTCAAAAGAAGAAAGCAAAAGCAGCTGATCTCTCTAGCAAGAAAGCTAAGATGGACGCTACACCAAAAAGGTGACTAGATTCTTTCAAATGGAACCCTTGATATGGTTCTTTATTTGATTTATGAAAATCCCATTATTGGATGGTCAGGGGTGGAGGAACTTGGACTGGGAAATCCAAGGTTGCGGCCACAAAGTCTGGTCGCAAAACAAAGGATGTCAAATCCAATGATGGCTCTAAAAGTGTCGGTAAATCCAAGGGTCATACCCCTAAAACTGGTGGTAAATCAGTTGACATCGTTTCAAAAGTAAGTAAGAAGTCCAAGAATGAGGACAGTGGTGATACACCGAAGTCCATGAAATCCAATAATGAAGGAAGTGCCACACCAAAAGCTTCCACAAGATTACAAGACACTTCAAAGACGGCCAAGTCCAAGCAGGAAGCCCCAAAAGGTTCCCCTCTTCCTAAGGGCAGATCTCTTAAAAGTGGTGGCAAATCCAGTGCTCATGGCACTAGTAAGTCAAAATCTGATTCATCAAAGGTGAAAGAAAGTGAGAGCACAACCGATTCAGAAAAGATTGTGGGAAGTGCGAAGCGGAAAGCATCAAGTTTGTCGAAGATACAGGGAAGTGATTCCAGGTCTGGAAAAAAGCAGCGAAGATGAGCTTAAAATAGCATCAAACTGCATCGTCATTGCCAAGGGTTGGTTCTTGTCCAATGTGGAACTTGGCTGAAAAGAGTTATTGCGGGCAGTCTTTAGAAGTACGAATGCTGAGCCATGCAATTGGTATTTCATGTAGTTAGGCTTGTGGGTAGAAAATATTCGTAGGTAGTGTTTGTATGGTTTGTGTTTCTCTTATTGTTGATGCACGCCTTAGGATTACATCGGGTTAGCCTTTTTTGTCTTTGTACCAATGAGTTGCTTCCATAACGTAATAGATTCGAGAAACTTGTGGAAGCAGTGGCCGTGTATCTATTCAACCCCAAACCCTCTCTCTCTCTCTCTCTAATGATTGCATCTTTATTTGGTTGGTAGCAAAATTACATTTTTTTAATGTTCTTTACGTATATACTATAATTATTTGATTGGGTCCATGACTATTAAGCTATTGGTGTAGTTGATGCATCTCACTTTGTAAAGTTATAACAGGTTAACCCTTTTTCAAATGCATTGATTGACGGTTAAGCGAGGAGGGAACAAGAGTTTTTAAGGATAGAAAAAGAAGTAAAGCCTGGTTTAGTACAAACGCTTTGAAATTGAAGCAGCGAATCAGGATGATAGCAATGCGTTAAAACAACTAAAGCAGCACTTCTCAGAGATGGGTCAAAACGTAGGTATCCTATAACATCATATTAGGCCTTTCACAGTCTTTGAGAGACTAGAGCCACACTTTCATGATATACAACTACTATTCAGACCACCTAATAAAACCTCCTTTTTTCTCTCAGATTTCTCCTATGTTTCTCGAGGTAAATATATGATGATAGATAAGTATTACGTAGTACTAATTTAAACTCAATTATTAAATTTGAATCAAAATAACTGAGTTTGATGTGATGTGAAAACTATCTCGAGAGACATTTATGATTTTACGTTTCTTAATTTTTAATATAGCTTCTTACAAGTTTTTATTTCTTAACTTTAACTTTTATATTAGTCTTTAGTTATCTTAATTGTGAAATCATTAAAAACCAGAGATTATATTATATGTTTTCCTGTTATTTTTATATAAATTATAATAAATAAATTATTTATAAATTTGTTTGATTAATATTAATTGTATTTTAAACATATCTAAATTTATGATATTTTAAATGTTACAGCCGCGCAAGACGAATAGTTTCTTCCGTTTGACTCTTCATGCGTGATAGCGGTAGTGATTTCTGGTAATTTTTTCCACTTGAATTCTGGCATTGCAACTACTGCACCGCCATGATTACATTCAATGAAAATGGACTCAAACACATGCACCATAAAATATATTTATATTATTACTTAATATATTAATAATGGAATCTTTTTATTTTACAAAATATTAAAAATTATTTACATATGTTCTTATATTTTAAAATACAATTTAACAAGTGTGTCCCATTTTTAGTTCCCTCCAAAAAAAAAAAAAAAACTCCACCAAAATTTCAGAAAAAAAATTAGCTGACGTTTTTTCCCATATGTAATGGGGTAAGTGAGAGATATGATAGTAGGCTGCCCCCAACGCCAGGTTAAGAGCAACTTCCGTGGGAGACCTCCGAATTATGAAATGTCTTAAATTCATTTAATTAGTAACATTTAACGAAAGTGATGATGTGTCAGTTAATAAAAGTGATATAATTACACATTTGATCATTGATATTTATACATTCTTTCAATTTAGTCATAATATAATTTAATTCAATAAATTTAATATAACATTTTTTATTATAATTTTAATTTATTCAATAAATAAATTTTTTTATTATAATACATTTTTCATTCAACTAAATGGTGATATGTGTCACCATCAGGTTAAAGTAAAAACATATATAAACAAATCGAAAAGGGTGAGATTCAAGCCCGTGTACTACACGCATGGAGAAGGAAAGCAAGCATTGCCGTTGAGCCTAGCCCTCATTTGTTACGTAATTTGTATAAAATTTATTGTGGTTACTGAAAAAAAAATAAAGAAATAAAACTACTTCTTTAGAGACTTAAATCTAAGCAAATTATATGAATAGGGCACTCTAATAACAAATTAATATTTTGACTGTTACATTTTAAGACAAAATTTAATATTTTTTCTTTCTCATAATTATAATTTAATGATTTTAATTTTTAGATTTGAGTCGAATAATATTTCTTTAACTTTTGAGTTAAAATTTTCATTTTTAAAATTATTATTTTTTAACTCAAATGTAAAAGTTAAAGTCATTAAATTGTAATTATGACACAAAATATTCAATTTTGTCTAAAAATGTAAAAACAAATCTTATATTTATTTTTAATTTTGTATTAATTTGTGATTAGAGTGTCCTAATCATATAATTTGTTTAGATTTAATTCCCTAAATAAGTAGTTTTCTTTCTTTATTTTTTTGTAGTAGTCACAATAGGTTTTATACAAAATTATGTAAAACTGATCATAAATGAAGGCTTGGCTTAGTGGTAATGCTTGCCTTTCCTACACCATGCGGCAGTACCTGTAATCGAATCCCACCAATTTCAATTTGTTGAAATTTGTTTTTCCCTTTAACCTGATGGTGACACGTGTCACCATCTGATTGGATGAAAAAAATATTATATTAAATAAATTAAAATTATAATAAAAAAGCTCTCCAATCACATGATGACACATGCTATCATATGATTAGAGGATTAAATTTATTGAATTAAATTATAACTAAATTAAAAGAATATATAAATATCGATGATTAAATGTGTAATTATATTAGTTTTATTAACCTCCACGAACACTAGTGGTTTAATTGAATGCATTTAAATAGTTAGGGTGGTCAGATTGACAAGAATTCAAAAATGATGATCGAAATTAAAAAGAGTTATAGTTGGATGGTATCTGTTATAGTTTACCCTATAAAATATGATACGCGCTTATCCAAAATGGCAGCCTTCCAAAACGAAAAGCAACTTATCCCAGCCCCAGCCTTGTTGACTTACTGTCAACGAATATTCTTTGCAGCCCACTAGATGTAGTGGTCGGGCAACAAAAGTTGCCCTAAAACTTTGCTGCTTCCCATTACTTCAATTGTCTTATAAATGACACACATAGGGTTAAATTCTTATTACTAATATCTCTCGTATTAATTCCAATGGTGATAGCTCCAACTTTTGTGTGTATGGCTGCAATCCCCATATGCACCAATCTGCTCAAAATTCAATATAAGTAAGCATTTTTACGTGGATGGTCCAAGCAAATTGGGTCCTTTCTATTCAGTTCTTGGTTTTTGGTCCCTTGTTGTTTGCTTGTTTCGGTCAATTCTTGCTGCTATTTGAAATGTCGTACCGTATCTTTAAAGGAACACGACACCTGAAAATACGTTTCATGAAGCGACGATGACCATTAAAGCTACTGCTGATGCAAATGTAAATCTCAAATGCCCTTTCCCTTTGTGTACTGTACTTGTTTCGTCTTTAGCTTGGGCCTCCGTATGTTAAAACTTTCAAAGCATATAAAGTGAAGATTCCGTTTCAATGGAGTTGCAAAAAAAAAAAAAAAACAAAGAACTATAAAGCGTTTAGGATTTGATCCCCAGATAAATATCCTTATCCCGTTTCTTTTATGGATTTGAATGAACCCTAATGCTTTTGTTTTGGTGCATGTCGGAGAGAGTAGACAGATAATTAAAGTGATTTAGGAGCAGTAGTATTAATCCTAGGAAAATGCAAATTGTAGGAGGATCATGACTTATATTAAATGATTACCGACATGATGCGTGCTTATTTAAAGCAAGGGCACGAGAGAAGAATATTCCAACCACTCGACTCATGATAACCTTTACTTGCTTATATTCCAACCTGCCAAAACTGTACATTATAACCGGAATCGTTTAGATGCGTTTTAGGGTTAGGGTCGAACAGGTCGGTTGATTATCCGACGAACCCTGAATTACATCCAAACCGCAACTTGTCACGTGGGGTTTGAAATCCGATTCCCCACTTGCCATTGTCAAACAACAAAATATGCTGTTTAATTTCTTTCCGTCCATACTAGAACCTTTTAGAAATGGAATAACACACTTTGCAAGGCATAGAGAAAGAGAGATGGGATCATCTTTAAAATGATCAATGAATACTTTGTTATGAATATTGAGGATTAATTTATAGTCGTAATTAAGGGAGGAGGTAATCAGTAATTAATATTGAAATCTATATTTTTGGTGAATATTTTGAAAATGGGGATGGAACTGGAAATAAGTGTAAGAGGACATAAAAGTTGATTAAAACGGAGTGATGGTGGAGTTGGGAAGAATGGGTGGTCCATCGCCTATCCCTAAAGTTGTAAGCTTTCAAGTATTTAAATCATGAATTTTTTTTTTTTTTTTTTGTGTGCGACTTTTGGAGGGGCTTTAAGGGCGTGGCTTCTGCTTCGCACATGCACACTATCACACAGCGGCGGATCCATATATACACACACATGAAAATAGATACGTTTACGTGTTCCTTTTAAATTTTCAATTTTTTTTCAATTAATTAATTATTTTTATTAAAGATGTTCACGCTGACTTTGTTTATGTCTATCTCATTAACTTATATTAATCAGTCCAATGCGTAACATAACTCTCTTGTCGCTTTCTTTGCTGTGTAGAAGTTTCTTCTACCTCTACTCTCCGTCAACTAATAATAATAATAATAATAATAATAATATAGAAAATAAGATCAGTTGATGGTTGATTAATCAGGTAAAGACCTTAAATTATTATCAAGTTGTTAATTGAAATCAGTATTATATTCAAATATAAGACAATTACTGCATTTAATGTACTAAAAATTAGTGTTTTTGGTAAATATGTTGTTAAACCTAATGTATTAAAAAACTACTTATCAATTAGTCTAGTGGGATGAGGCATTAAATCCCTTAAGTAAGGTCAGGGGTTCGAATTTTGGTAATTGCAAATGGATTAAAATGGTTTTGGAGGGGACGTTCTTGTTTCTACGGTACTCAATGATTTAACCGATCAATAAATCATATATTAGTGTTCATACCAAAAAAATGCGATCACATGATAGTTTGGGGACTAACATGGAAGTTAAAAAAATATTTTTTATTTTATCACATTAGATTCCTTATAAAAATTTGTGATTTTCAATCTTTTTAGTCGTAACCACAAATCATTACCCTAGACATAAATGAACATTGTTTCATCTTCCTCTACAATATTAATTTAGAATTTTTTAAAATCTTATGAAAACTTTTAATTTTAAAATAAAAATTCATCAGTTTTAGGGTTTAAAAATTTCTCATAGATTTAGAATGTTTATTGGAAAATATGAACGATGAGGAATATTATTTTGAAAAGACGAACAACATATCTCGAAACTAGTATAATCAGACGATCGTT